TGGCCTTGTTGTCCACGTACAGAACTGGAGGAGAACGAGGCGGCTCTCCTAGGTCAGTCAACAGGTAGGTGAGCCAGCATAACTCCTGTGCAGCCATGGCTCTTGCGTAAATCTCAGCCTCATAGCTGGAGCCGAGAACAGAAGACGAGCGGGTAGACCGCCACGAAACAGAGCCGGAACCAAGGCTGAAGGTGTAACCCTGAGACGACCGCTGCGTAGCCTGGTCGACAGCCCAAGAAGCGTCCGCGTGACCAGTGAGGACCACTGGACTCCGCCCTCCAAGCACGAGCCCCATGCCCGACGTACTACACAAGTAGCGCAACACCCTCTTTGCTGCAGCCATGTGCGCTGGTCGGTGTCTCCTAGGAGCAACATAGCGTGCAGGTACGCAAGGTCAGGTCGAGTGCAGGTCATCAGGTACATGAGGCAGCCAACAAGCTCTGGGTACGGGCCACTCGGCTCTACGGACTCATCCGAAGGCAGAGCTGAGAGCGAGTGGCGAGTAGACAGAGGAGTGGCCTGAGGCAAGGAGTACGTGAAGTCGAAGCGTTGAAGGACCTGCTGCACCATGTGTAACTGAGTCAAGGTAATGGTGCGCCGTGCTCTGTCCCGAGTGATCTGCAAGCCAAGGTAGCTGCGCAGTTCACCCAGGTCTGTGCACGTGTGTCTCTTCTGCAGCTCAGACTTCACGTGGGCGAGTGCAGCAGTGTCAGCAGTAGCAAAGACCAAGTCGTCGACGTACACGAGGATCTAGAACGGCGGCAAAGAAGTGTCGGTGCGTAGAAACAGCGACGGGTCGGCAGTAGAAGGAGCAAACCCAAGAGCCGCAAGTGTAGTCCTCAGTGTGTCGTGCCACTCACGGGGCGCCTGGCGGAGACCGTAGACTAGCCGCCGGAGGCTCCACTGGGTACCAGGAGGAAACGACCCAGTGAAGCCAGGTGGGCAGCGCAGCCAGATCTCCTCATGGAGGCTGCCCTGTAGGAAAGCAGTGCTGAAGTCAAGAGAGTAAAGCTCGTAGTCGCGCTGAGCGGCTATATGCAGCAGCACCCGAAGAGTGGTCATCTTCGGGGTGGGAGAGAAGGTCTGAAAGTAGTCAACTCCTTGCCGCTGACTGAAGCCTCGAGCCACGTAACGTGCCTTGAAGACAGGCGGAGAACTCGGCGGCCGCTTCACCCTGAAAATCCACATGCCACTGACGATGTTCGCCCCTGGTGGGGGAACCTCGTCCACGTAGGTGCCTGTGGACTTCCAGGAAGCCATCTCTACGTCCATGGCTGACTGCCATTGAGAGGAGTAGGGACCCTCTATCGCCTCTGCGTAAGAACACGGAGTCGGGATGTCTGGTGCATCCGGGTCTCCCTCAGGGGCAATCACCATGGACACGAGATGAGGCAAAGCAGCAGCAAAACACTGGAACTCCTCCTGCCTGTCCTCAAGGACGTCCGTGCTAAGAGCACACTCACCCCCGACGGACGGAGGACAGACAGACTCAGACTCAGCAACAAGACTAGCAGCGTAGTCTAGACGACAGCGAGCAGCGAAGTAGACAAGCTTAGCAACTAAGGTAGACGCAGCAGTGAACTCAAAAGAAGGGTCAGTGACAGCAGTAGCCGGGAGACGCGTGACAGTAGGACTTGCAGCACGAAGAGAGTCAGACTCCGGGTCAGCAAGAGCAGGAAGAGAGGACTCTGGGGGAGAAGGCAAAGGGACACGCAGTGGAGCAGTGTAAGGACGCAGTGCCATCTGGTGTGAGCCCGGGACCGCAGGAGGACGCTGACGCCAAACACGACGACTAGTGCGAGCAGCACGAACAGGCGACGCAGGATGAGACGCAGGCTCACGACGCTCAGCAAGACCTCCAGTAGGACCAGTGTAGGGAGAAGGAGCAGGCAGTGGGGAGGCGGGCTGTAACTGCGACTCGGACTGGACAGGTAGTGGACACTCCAAGGAAGGAGCAGGACCAGTAGAGGGCGGAAGACCAAGAACCTGCTCAAGGAGCGGAACGAAGTACAACAGTGGCCGCGCAGCACCTCCAGAACCAGCAGGGACAGTACCAGCACCCCTAGGGTCGGCTCCGACTCCAGCAGCTCCACTAGCTCCAGGAGCAGCTACTCCAGCACCCACAGGCGCACCGGCAACAGCAGCACCTCCAGCTCCAGCACCTCCTGCTCCAGCAGGACCACTGGAAGGCTCAACAGCCCCAGCTCCAGCACCTTTAGCAACTCCTACTTCAGCAGCACCGCGAGCTCCAGCACCGCTAGCAGCTCCAGCACCAGGAGCACCCCCCGGCCCAACAGCTTTAGTACCTCCAGTACGAGCACCTCTGGGACTCGTGGCGTCAGCACCCTCAGCAGCAGAAGAACCTCCAGCTCCAGCGGCACCTCCAGCTCGAGGCTCACGGCTCCAGCGCCAAGAAAACCACTCGCGCAACTCCTGTGGAGAGGGTAGCTCCCGCCGGGACGAAGCACGCGAAGGTCCTCCAGACCTAGTACCACCAGACTCCACACAAGTAGGTCCAGCACCCTCAGGCTCCGCACCCCCAGTCCCAGCACCCCCAGACTGGACACTCCTAGGTGCAGCACCCCCAGACTCCGCACGCTCAGGCTCAGCACCCCCAGACTTCGCACCCGCAGGCTCAGCACCCCTAGTAGCACCAGAGTCAACAGCTACCTCAACAGGCTCGACTGCGTCTACCTGGGACACACCTGAGGGGGCAGGACCGTGAGGGGGAAAGGGGTCTACCGGGGGAGGACCTGGCGCGAGGAAGAGCGGCGGCGGGGGGAGGGGGGCAGCGCGGTAGGGGAAGAGACGGTAGTAAGGAACCGACTCGTCAAACGTGACGTCCTGGGAGGACAGAACACGGCGCGAGGTGGGGTGGTAAAACAGCCAACCAGGCGCGTCAAGGGGGGAAGCCAAGGAAGATGCAGGGAATATCATGGGGGGACAGCTTGTCCGCAGACAAGTCGCGGACAAAAGCTCGAGATCCCCAGACACGGAACGCAGACAAACCGCCAACCCTCCCCGTCCACCGCAGAGTAGGGGAGGTCTCCGGCAAGGAGACCCGGGGCTGAAGGTTGATCTGATGCGCCGCGTACTGAACCGCAAACGGCCACAGAAAATTGGGAGCAGCCGCATGGATCATGGACGTACGAGCGACGTCCATGACCATGCCAATGCGGCGCTCAGCAATCTCATTTTGCTGTGGAGAGGCCGGAAGTGTGAACGTTCGGCGGATGCCCCGTGCACGACAGAAGGCTTGCCGAAGGTCAGAGGAAAACTCGCCGCCTCTGTCAGAGTGGAGATGCAGAACAGGAAAGTCCGAGCCGAAACTATCTCTGAGCTGGAGACGAGCTGCGCGGATCCAGTCGATCAACACCTCAGTGACCTCACCCTTGCTGTGCAAGGGGAAGACGGTGGTGTAACGCGAGTAGTCGTCAACTACCAGCAGGAAGTAATGCTCGTGACCCTGTCCACGGACGCGGGCGGGGCACCACACGTCCATGTGAAGCGTCTGCAGGGGAACCTCTGTCGGAGGAAACTCGGAGGAGTGAGGAGCGGCGCGCTGCCGCCCCTCGACGCAGGAAACGCAGGTAGGGGCAGGCCCCGGAGGAAGAGGAGGGATGGACCGGGGGAGACGAGAGACAAGGGCACAAGAGGCCATACCTCGGAGTCGAGGCAGGGAGGGGTGACCAAGTCGTTGGTGCCAGAGGAGAGTCTGGTGAGACAGGAGACGACACGAGCAGGGGGCAGACTTAGGACCAGACCTGGACGCTGCAGCAAACACCTGACCCGACGCAGCTACCTGACCAGACTCAGCAACCGGAGGAGACTCAGTAGTAAGTGTTTACAGGCTCGACCTCGGCTGACGGGTAAATGTGGCCAAGTGTCGGCCCGTCCGAGCACACGTACAGTGGGTCACTCGCTGACTCGCAGTAGTGAACTGGTCAACCCCCCCATCCTGTAGGTCAGCACCACTCACCAAGTTCGTAGAGAACGAGGGGAGGTAAAGACCTTACAGGGTGCCAGAAGGGGCCGTCGGACACGATAAGACAGTGGAGAAGTGGGCAAGGACAGGACCCTTAGAGGGGTCTGCCAGCGAGACAGCAACAGGCCAACTAAGCGGCGTGAGTGTGGTGCGGGAAGCACCTGAGTCAAGGGTGAAAGTGTGCAAAGCCTGAGCCGACGTGGTACCTGAGAGAGCAGACTCACCAGCACCTGGGGCAGGAGACTCACCAGTGTCAGAATCCCAACCACTAGACCATTGGGATAAAAGGGCTTGTTTAAGCAGCGGGTCAGTGCGCCCATAACCCCCTAGGCAACCGTGCCTGTAACCCTTCCCTAGGATCAATCGGGGATCACCAGTGGACCTCTAACACCCCCCCGCACTGGGATGCCCGAAGTGCATACACCGGGATTCGAACCCGAGACCTTCGCTCTGATACCATGTCAGAATCCCAACCACAAGACCATTGGGATAAAAGGGCTTGTTTAAGTAGCGGGTCAGTGCGCCCATAACCCCCCAGGCAACCGTGCCTGTAACCCTTCCCTAGGATCAATCGGGGATCACCAGTGGACCTCTGACAACCAGCACCTGGAACAGCAGACGCACTAGCACCTAGAGCAGCAGCCTCACCAGCACCTAGAGCAGCAGCCTCAATGCCCGGGTCAGGCAGAACACACAGGTAACAGTCACCCTCATCATTAGTAGACACAACATACATGGCAGCAAGAATAGCATCATAATCAAGATCAAAGATAGCAACCCCCGCCCTAAGCAGCTCGCCCCAGCGAGGGATCTTAGTGGCGTCAGGGAAGTGGAGACGCCAGGCATCCGTCAGGCGGCCGAAGCTGTGCTAGGTGGTGTGCAGGCCACCGCACGGCTCACCAGTGCGGTCGTCGGTACGTAGGACGTAGGCACAGGGGCCAGCACCCCCACCCCGCTAACGCGCAGCGTACCACTCACGAAGCTGCTTTGGGGGCAGGGTCTTACGAGTGCGCTGCTACTGCTGGCGCTGACCACCACCGAAGCCGCCCCGCTGCACAGAGCCACCCCGACCAGCTCCACCGCCGCTGCCGCCACCGCCGCCACAGCCGCCTCCTCCGCTCCCACCGCCACTGCCGCCGCCGCCTCCGCCTCCACCGCCGCCACCGAAGCCCCCACCCCCGCCACCACTCCCACCGCCACCCCCACCACCTCCGCCACCTCTACCGCCACCTCCACCGCCCTTGCCAGCTCCTCCAGCTCCCTTGCCCCCCATGCCCTTGCCGTTGCGGCGTCTCCCGCTAGGGGCAGACGCAGCGCCAATCGACTCGGTGCCAATGAGGTCGACAGCAGCAGCAGAGGCAACAGAGGGCAAAAGGGGGGAGGGGGAGCACCCCTCAAAGAAGGGGGCACGAGGGTCACCACGAGAGGCTCCTACAGCGACTATACTATTCTCAGCTGCAAGGAGGCGCTCCTCGAGGAGGTCAACGTTGAGTGTGGTGGGGAAAACAGAGAGGAAAAGGTCCCTGACCGAGCGAAGGGATTCGGGGAGCCGGGTGACTAGGTAGTAGAGGGTGATGTACATGGGGGGGGGGTTCTTGTCGCAGAACTCAGCAGGAAGCGCAGCGCGGTAGCGGGTGTCATTAGTGCGGAGGTGTGTAATGAGGTCAGCGACTGTGGGGAAGGCGGCAAGGTCAGGGAACAGGTACGGCAGCATGAGGCGACTAAGGGCAGCAGTGGCAGGGGAAGAGTAGCGTGCAACTACAGCGTCGTACAAGGTCTTAGCACTCTTGTACTGACTAAAGTGCGTGCGCTCAGTGGACGACAGGTGATTACGCACAGCAAGACGGGCAGCAGCATCGCGTGTGGCCCACTGTGAGCAAACAGTACTGTCAGCATCGGCAGCAGGGGCAGCAGAGGCACCAGACATGAGATCGAACAGTGAGAGACCATCTTTTCTATCGCACTGCAGGAAAAGCTGCAGATCATCGACCTAGACCTCAAAGTCGACTGCCCGACCCTTAGCATCAAAGGTGAGCACATTTGGGGTAGCCATGACAGCAGCAGCAGCAGGAGGGGCGTGGCTCGGCAGTGCGCTTACCAGGGGCGGGTGGATAGAAGTCCGCAAGTGGTGGGGCAGGGCCGATGTGCGCCGGCAGGAACAGGGCCGCGACAGGGCGGCGGAGGAGGGCCGCGCCTCGGCTGCAGGGTAGGGCCGGGACGGCGGCAGCGGCTGTCACGGCAATGGCAGCGGCGGTTGTCTCAGCAGCAGCGGCGGCGCGTGTCACGGCAGCAGCGGCGGCGGCGACCGGCGGTGGCGGAAGCAGCAGCGGCAGCAGGCACGACGGCAGCTGCTGCTGGGGCGGCGACGACGGGGCGGCAGGGCCGTGAAGAGCCGGGGAGGGGCCGCGAAGGGGCCGCGAAGAGCCGCGAAGGGGCCGCGGAGGGGCCGTGAAGGGGCCGCGAAGGACCGCGAAGGGCCGCGGAGGGGCCGCGAAGGGCGGCGAAGGGGCCGGGAAGGGGCCTCGAGGGGCCGCGAGGGGCCGCGAAGGGCCGCGAAGGGGGGGGGGGGGGGGGGGGGAAGGGGCGGCGCAGGGGGCGCGAAGGGCCGTGAGAGGGGCCACGAAGGGCCGCAAAGGGGCCGCGAAGGGCCGTGAAGGGGCCGCGAAGGGCCGTGAGAGGGGCCGCAAAGGGGCCTTAAGGGGCGCGACGGGCCGCTAAGGGCAGGGGACGCGACGGGAGGGCAGGGGCACGGGGCGCGACTAGGGCAGGCGCGAAGCGCGCTCCGGGCAGGTAAAAAAAAAATCCGTTATAGTGGTGGGCAACGAGGAATGAAGTGACTAGGCAAAATGTGGGTACAAGTAGGAAACCTAGAAATGTTATACCCTATAGTGTCTACCCCACTACAACCTAGATAAACCATAGCATATAAGTTTGACATAAATTTATATTCTCACACTCTATCAGTACAGGGATTCGAATCTTATGCTATAATATTCCACTGAGGGATGGACTCTAAAAGATCCTTAGAACTTTTTTCGGCCCAACATGAGAGCAGGAAAGATAATGATTTTTTTAACAACAGACTTACAATTTTATAAAATCTTCATTATCAACAACAAACTTACAGACACGACCTCTTGTAACAACGGCAAAATCCACTTGCATAGTGGAGGTGGTGGTATTTAATAACAGCCTTCACCACCACCACTACTTGGCTCTGTTTTGGCCTTTGCGAGCCCTGCTCCAACAGCTGCATGTGCAACTGGACTAGGAGACGCTGGAGAACTGTCCCTGTCCTTCTCGTTCAAGGCTGATGGAGATGGTCAGGAACTATATCACTACCAGCATCAATTGATCCTGAGATACAACAATAAGTCATGCATTGTTTCTCAATGTTTATGGCAGCAGCACCACAGGCAACACAAGCATGAACTTCGGTAAATATGGGGACGTCACCAATGAGTGTCAATGGGAAGTTCTACGCGCAACGACATGTCAGAATGAGAGAAGTGATTGAACTTACAGCATTGGGAGTACAAGTGGGAAAACTTAGAATGTTGTACCCCCTAAGGCTAAACCCACTATAGCCTACAGAATAGTAACATATATAATGTTGGCCCGAGTAGCCACGTAAGGGAGACGAAGCTGACCACGCTGCTGCAACTCTTGAGCAAGGAAGTAGCGCAGAGCGATGTGCTTCGTTCTGTGCTCCGGACACATGGCAATCAATGGCCTTGTTGTCGACGTACAGCACTGGAGGAGAACGAGGCGGCTCTCCAAGGTCGATCAGCATGTAGGTGAGCCAGCGTAACTTCTGTGCAGCCATGGCCCCTGCGTAGATCTCAGCCTCACAACTGGAGCTGAGAATAGAAGAAGAGCGGGTAGACCGCCAAGAAACAGAGCCGGAGCCAAGGCTGAAGGTGTAACCCTGTGACGGCCGCTGCGTAGCCAAGTCGTCAGCCCAAGAAGCGTCTCCGTGACCAATGAGGACAACTCGAGCCCGTCCTCCAAGCACGAGCCCCATGCCCGACGTACTGCACAAGTAGCGCAACACCCTCTTAGTAGCATCCATGTGCTCCTTCCTGTGTCGGCCAGGAGCGACATAGCGTGCTAGGATGCTAAGAGGGTAGGCTAGGTCAGGTCGAGTGTAGGTCATCAGGTACATGAGGGAGCCCACAAGCTCTGGATATGGGCCACTCGTCTCTACGGACTCGTCCGAAGGTGGAGCTGAGAGCGAGTGTCCGGTAGGAAGAGGAGTGGACTGTGGCGAGGAGTACGTGAAGCGGAAGCGCTGAAGGACGTGCTGCACCATGTGTGACTGGGTCAAGGTAATGGTGCGCTGTGCTCTGTCCTGTGTGATCCGCAAGCCAAGATACCTTGTCAGCTCACCCACGTCTGTGCACGTGTGTCTCTTCTGCAGCTCCGACTTCACGTGGGCGAGTGCCTCAGTGTCAGCAGTAGCAAAGACTAAGTCGTCTACGTACACGATAATGTAGAACGGCGGAGAAGTGGTATCGGTGCGTAGAAACAGCGACGGGTCAACAGTAGAAGGAGCAAACCCAAGAGCAGCAAGAGTGGTCCTCAGTGTGTCGTGCCACTCACGAGGTGCCTGGCGGAGACCGTAGACTGGCCGCCGGAGACTCCACTGGGTACCAGCAGGAAACGACCCAGTGAAGCTAGGTGGGCGACGCAGCCAGATCTCCTCGTGTAGGCTGCCCTTTAGGGAAGTAGTGCTGAAGTCAAGAGAGTGGAGCTCGTAGTCATGCTGAGCGGCGACGTGCAGAAGAACCCGAAGAGTGGTCATCTTCGGGGAAGGGGAGAAGGTCGGAAGAAGTCAACTCCCTCACGCTGATTGAAGCCTCGTGCAACGTAACGCGTCTTAAAGACAGGCGGAGAACCTGGCGGCCGCTTCACCCTGAAAATCCACATGCCACTGACGATGTTCGCCCCAGGTGGGGGAACCTCGTCGACGTAGGTGCCTGTGGACTTCCAGGAAGCCATCTCTGCGTCTATAGCTGACTGCCACTGAGAGGAGTAGGGACCCTCTATCGCCTCTGCGTAAGAGCGTGGGGTCGGGATGTCTGGTGCATCCGGGTCTCCCTCAGGGGCAATCAGCATGGACACGAGATGAGGTAAAGCAGCGGCAAAGCACTCAAACTCCTCCTGTCTGTCCTCAAGGACATCGGTGCCAAGACCAGCTGCTCCAGCAGCACCAGCACCAGCAGCACCTCCAGCAGCACCACCAGCAGCTCCAGCACCAGCAGCACCACCAGCAGCTCCAGCACCAGCAGCATCAGCACCAGCAGCACCTCAAGCAGCACCACCAGCAGCTCCACCACCAGCAGCACCTACAGCAGCTCCAGCACCAGCAGCACCTCCAGCAGCACCAGCACCAGCAGCACCTCCAGCAGTACAAGGGCCTCCAGCGGGCAGCACCCCAGCGCTAGGAGCGCCGCTCCGGAGGCTGCAGCGCCAAGCGTAACACTCACGCAGCCGGTGTGGGGAGGGAGGCTCCGGCCGCGACACGGCACCCTCAGCACCACCAGCTCCAACTCCAGCAGAATCCCCACCTTCAGTAGCCCCACGCCGGAGGCTGCAACGCTGAGAGTACCACTTACGCAGCTGCTGTGAAGAGGGAGCGCCACCAGGCGCAGCACGGTCAGTCTCAGAACCCCCAGCCTCAGCTCCCCCAGTCTCAGCACCCCCAGTCTCAGCACCCCCAGTCGCAGCACCCCCAGTCTCAGCACCCCCAGTCGCAGCACCCCCAGGCTCAGCACCCCTAGTCGCAGCACCCCTAGTCTCAGCACCCCCAGGCTCAGCACCCCTCGCAGGACCAGAGTCGACAGCTACCTTGACTGGCCCGACTGGGTCTACCTGGGAAACACCTGAGGGAGCAGGACCTTGGGGAGGGAGGGGGTCTCTCGAAGGGACACCTGGTGTGAGGAAGAGCGGCGGGGGGGGAAGCGGGGCAGTGCGGTAGGGGAAAAGACGGTAGAAGGGTACCGACTCGTCAAAAGTGACGTCCTGAGAGGGGAAGACACGGCGCGAGGTGGGGTGGTAAAACTGCCAGCCAGGCGCGTCAGGGACAAAGCCAAGGAAGACACAGGGAACACCACGGGCGGAGAGCTTGTCCGCGGACGTATCACGGACAAAAGCACGAGATCCCCAGACCCGGAACACCGACGCATCGCCAACCTCTCCTGTCAAACGCACAGTCGGCGAGGTCTCCAGAACAGAGACACGGGGCCAGAGGTTGAGCTGATGCGCAGCGTATCGAACCGCAAACGGCCACAGAAAATGGGGGGCAGCCGCATGGATCAGGGAGGTACGAGCCGCCTCCATGACTAAGCCAATGGGGCGCTCAGCAACCCCATTCTGCTGAGGAGAGGCCGGAAGCGTGAACGACTTCTCAATGCCCTCCCCCTGATAGAAGGCCCTCAAGAGGTCGGAGGAAAACTCACCACCTCTGTCAGAGTGTAGACGCAGGACAGGAAAGTCTGTGTGGAAGCGCTTGTGCAACTGGAGACGACTGTTGCGGATCCAAGGGATCAAAACATCAGGGACTTCACCCTTGGTGCGCAAGGGGAAGACCGTGGTGTAACGCGTGTAGTCGTCAACCACTAGCAGGAAGTAGCGCTCGCCGCCCTGTCCACGGACGCGGGCTGGGCCCCACACGTCCAGGTGGAGAGTCTGCAGTGGAGCCTCTGTCGGGGGGAATGAGGAGGAGTGAGGAGCGGCGCGCTGCCGCCCCTCGACACAACGAAGGCAGGGAGGGGCAGGGGAGGGTGGGAGGGGAAGTAGGGTCCTGGGAAGACCAGAGACAAGGTACCGGGAGTGCATGCCTCGAAGGCGCTGCACTGACGGGTGACCAAGGCGGTGGTGCCAGAGGACGGTCTGGTGCGACAGGGCGCGACACGAGCAGGGGGCCGACAGCTGACCTGACGCAAACGCAGACGCAGCTACTTGAGGGGACTCAGTGGTCAGTGTGTTCAGGCCCGACCCCGGCTGCCGAGTGAAGGTAGCCAGGTGGCGACTCGTCC